GAAAGACGGGCCAAAAAAAGTGATGGGCGCAGGTAGGGATGCCATTGGCGCGAGACAGGCCCTCCAGTGTGTGAGTGCGGGGCCGGCGGCCGGCGGGGCGCAACCCGAGGGGCGACCCGCAGAGACAGCGCCGCCATTGCGAGCCTCGCCTGTCTGCCTGCTTTTGATGGATGTCGCCGTAATTCGATCCCCTCTGCCTGGCTGCCCTGGCTGCCCTGGCTGCCTCGCAGTGTGCCCGTCGAGTCCCCGGCCGGACAGCTCGAGGGCCTCACCGCCTCGCAGCCGAGATCTCCTTTTTGTCGACCTGTCCCCGTCCGTCCCTGTGCCCATCCAGGACGGCCGCCACCGCAGTGGCCGTCGCGCTGCTGAGGGCGATAGCGCTCAACCCCAATTCATTAATCATTTCATTAATTAACGACGAATGCCTCTGCCAGAAAGCAAGAAAAACTAGTGCAGCTTTCGTCGAATTGTCATCGATAGCGGAAGGGAAAAATTTGTGCTTTGTTTCGTTTTTGTCCGGGCTGGGCTTCGCGCGCTCGCGCTGGTGGAGTCGGACGCGTTTCAGCGACGCTGGACTCGAAAACGTGTCAGAGGTTGCTTGGGTCCGGCCGGTGTTCGGTTCAGTCCGTTAGGCCTGGAGCTCAAAACGCGTCTAGAGTTTTGGCCGCCGGTGACGTCACCGAGGGCCGCACCGCCAGTTCATCGCCCCGTCCACGCACCCTTTTCCAGTGGCGTGCTAAGCGGAAAGGGGGGAGGGGAGGGGCTCGCGGGTCCCAGGCAGGCAATCGCCATGCAAATGCCGACTCAAGCTGCCTGAGTCCCCGGACCACCCCGGACCGGCCCGGACCCGGTCGCCATCTGCGCCCTGCAGCCCTCCCCCTCCCCCTCCCCCTCTCACGGGGGTACCCACCACGGCCGAGCCCAAGGCCCACGGGACGAGGTGGCGTTGCTTCCATTCTCGCAGTCACGGTTCAAGGTCGGCCCGGTCGGCCCTCGCCGCCAGACGCACCAAGGTCAAACACCGTCTGTTCAAGTTTCGGCGCGGAGCGGTGCGAGTCTCTGCCAGTGTTTAGCGACTCTGGACCTCAAAACGTATCTAGATTTGGCCGCCTGCGCCGGCCTTCTGGCAAATCCACAGCAGGCCAGCGCGCTGCCGCTGTCTTTGATTCTTTGATTGCTTCGGCCGCCAGTTGGCGTGCTGCCTGCATGCATGCATGTGGGGTGGGGGTGCCATGCCGCCATGCCCCGCGCACCCAGCAGACTGGTTCCGAGAGTCGGTTTCGTCACTCTGTCTCCCTCGCACCCACACGGGACGGCCCGAGGGGGAAATCACTCTTAAAAACTGTGACCCGACTAATCCCTATTACGTTCTATTACGCTATTACAGAAGGCTTATTACGCTCGAAAATATCCAGATTTAGGCTAAAATCGGAACCTAAATAGGGAAAATTTTAAAAAATTTGGCTATTACGCTATTACTATTACGCGTAATACTAGGTATCGGTGACCCGACTATTACGCGAGTGATTTCCCCCTCGGGACGGCCCATGAGTGCGAGAGAGACAGAGTATGACGATGTAGACTCTCGGAATCGGTCTGCAGCATGCACCCAGGCTCCAATCGGCCCAGCTAGTCGGCCGCCTCGCGATATTTCAACCAGAATAATCCCTTTTGTGCGCCACGCGGTGGCGTGCAAGTGTGTGTGTGTGTGTGTGTGTGTGTCTGTGTGGAGAGAGAGAGAGAGAGCGAGCGATAGAAAAGAGCGCCCCCCTCTTCAAGTAAGCCCAACAACAAGAGGGTTGTCGGGGTTTCAAACATGACTAGAACTATGCCGAGTGTAAAGTACTTCCACCTATTCTTTTGTTATTCAATTAGTGAACTGCTCTCACGCTCTGCTAACCGCATAGACAGAGCATAAAAGAGGAATCCTTTGGTAGCTCCCGTGCACTAAGGGGGATGCGCTGTGTGCTGTTCACAACCGCAAATTGGGTGACTTCCTGGAAGAGGTGGCGTGGTCGAGCTCCACGTGCTGTTTCTGCTCCCCCCTCTCTCCCCCCCTCTTTTCCTCCGCTTTGTCGTGAGGCCACACCGCCTTTAAAAAGGCCGAATACGCCAACTGGCCAGCACACAATCGCGGGCCGGTCCGTAAATTACCCGTTTAGCTTATCCACGGACGGCCTCGGCTAGAGACAGCTCAATGCGAAGTGTCTGCGTGCATGTGTGTGCCAGAATGAGGGAGAGAGAGTGGAGCTCGCTGTGGAGGCCCCTAAGTGTGTGCTGATGTACGATGTGGCGGGGCGTGCCTGGAGCGGTGCCGGGGCGTTTAGGGGGCTAATCCCGTCCCGGCTCTACCCCGCGCGACCCTGCCCCGCCCCGACACGCCCAGTCCGGCAAAGCTGTCATCTGGTGCCGCCCCTGTCCGCCCTCATTGCGGGCCGCCTCGCCTCGCCTCGTCAAGGAGGCCCCCAAGTCCGTGACGCACTTTGCATCCGGCCGTGTTTTGCCGTCGACAGCTCGGCCAGCAAGCCACTCCAGCCGCCCCGCCGCCTCCGCCGCCGCCGAACCGCTTTTTCCGCGCCCGCCATTCATTTTCGGTTCGTCGAAAATAATGCGACTAGTCCGTGCCGCTGAATAGCAAATTACCAAGAAGACAAACCGAGTCTGATCGAGGCGAGGCGGCGAGGCGGCGAGACGAGACGAGACGACTTTGCATAATACCCGCAGTGGCACCGCGCTCGGAAAACAAAAATTTTGTTGTTGTTTCCGAATTGGCGCGCTTCTTGGCGTCTCTTGGCGCGGAGATCGCTTGCGGCTTGCCGCCTCTCAGAGGGAGCCCCGGCAGACTGATTACGAGAGTCGTTTTCGCCGCTCCGTCTCTCCCGCATTCGTGAGGCGTCCCGTGTAGGTGCGAGAGGGGCAGAGCGACGACAGCGACTCTCGTAATCAGTCTGCAGCGAGCTCTTAGGCATAGAGTGCTGTAAGTTTGCGGCCGCGCAGCAGGGAGCGCCGAACACACTCCTGGCCTTCCCGTCTCCTTACTCCGTGCAGGGCTTCCTCCTGGCTTCCTGCTCCGAGAAGCCGGGAAGCTGTGCCGAAGAGTTGTTCCATCGCTCTGGCCCCGTTCCGACGAGAGAGACGGAGCGAGGCGACGACTCTTTGCGGAATCGGTCTCAGCAGGAGGAAAAGTGCGTGCGGTTTCGGCGAGCTTGTTTTGTTGTCTTGACGGGAGCAGCGCAGCGGGACGTCACAGCAGACGACGCTGAGCCGCGGGCCGCGCCGCGCGACTCCAAGTAGACGCACTGACTCGCGGGGGAGGAAGCCCCGCCGCCGCTGTACGCACTGTAAGCCATGCACGCTGGGAAGAGTTGCAATTTTCGGCCCGCCAATTCAGTTGCCGAGCAGTTGAGCGTGCAAGGGGGTGAGCTGCCTGGCAGGGATCCGGAGGGTCGGGGGCCGGCGAGATAGGGCCGGTGCAGGGAGGTGGGGCCGCCCCCGGCCGCCCCCGGCCGCGCCTGGAAGAGGCTGAATATGGGGCAGATAGGCGGCCGGGGAGGCGTAGGCAGCACAGTGGGCCAGAAGACCGGTGGGGGTGGTCATGATCCCAGACGGGTTTTTAGCTCCTGAGTCGCTAAATGGGGCTCGAAACGAACGTGTGACCCCACCCATGGATTGCTCTCCGAACGAGGAATCCTTTGGTGGGGTCACGCGTGTGGTTTGGGTCCTGTTTAGCGACTTTGCAGCTCAAAACGCGTCTAGATTTTCAGCCGCCTGCGCCGGTCTTCTAACCCACTTGTGGGAGGGGCAGGAAGTTAAGGTACACACAAGCTTTTTAAGTTCATCCCCAGTGTAAGTGGTCCTGCATGGTGACGTCCTCTCGGAAACTCCCCTTGCAAAATATTGCAACGCTGTGCGGTTGGTTACCGCGGGGGCCAAACTTTGGGGCCGAGTGTGCGAGCGGGAGCGCGCGCTGTGCGAAGAGGACGAGGCCACGGCGCCCCCTCGTTTGTCTCCGTTTTTAGTTCGGGCCCACCTGCAGCCGGCTGGGCGAGGCTGCGAGTCGCTGTGAGTAGCTCCGAGCTCCCCGAAGCGGCCAATATGCGCGCCGCGAGCCTCTCCACTCCGTTGCCTCCCCTTTATGGAGTCATCTCCATTCCGTTTACCTGATAGCACTCCTCGGCAGTCGTGACGTTATTCTACAAGAGGAAAAATAAACGAAAGGAAAATGAAAAGGGAAAAAAAAAGTATTCCGCGCTCCATGAAACGTGCGCACGCTCGCGAAATGTGTGCGTGCAATTTTTCAATCCTTGTTTTCAGAAGCGCGCGCGGAAAAAAAAGACCCAGTTGTTAGGCTGACTACGGCATTGTGTTATATTTGGCGTACGCGTGCCGGTGAAAAAGTTGGTACGCGGAAGGAGCAAAACTTGGTCGAGTTTCTTCGTCGTTAAACCGGGCCAGTGGAGATTGGGCCGCTGCGGAGTACTGGATGTACCCCAACCTTTTCATGTCGCCTCGGCAGAGAGTGCAACCCGTTTTCCAGCGGAGCCTTGCGCCCTGTTGAGGAATCGGATAAATTTGTGCTTTTTGAAGCGAAATGGAGGAGAGTCTTTGCGCGTGGCATTCAATTTCAGTTTGCACTTTGAGCAGCTTAGGACGCAGACGGGTAGTCTCTGCTGTCGGATCAGCAGTGGGTGTACAAACCGCGGGGCTGCACTGCACGTACCAGGAAATAAGAGGCAGCCTACTCGTCCGGTTTCGGAGCGGTGGACAGGCTGACAGGCTGCCAGGCACAACAAGCCAACAAGCCCTCGTGACTCCGTGCGGACGAGGTCCTACCCACGGGGGCACTATCCGGGCCGCTGGCCGACAGGGCTGTAGGGCAACCAAGTTCCTCCTTGTCCGTGGCGAACCTCCTAGAACACTGTGGAATCCGAGAGGGAGAGAAGTCTTCGGAGAAATCCACCCGAAGCGAAAACTCATGCGTTCTTTTTGTCTTGTTGCAGATCCGCGTGAACTCGCCTGACTTCGCGGTTTCAATGCAATAGGGTAAGTCGGTTTCCGTAACACACGTCGACACACTGGGAGAAGTACAGTACGGAGCATACCTGGTCCAGCCAGTACCTGCCAACTTACGGAACTTCAATACTTTTTTTGCGTACCCCTGCCATGAACTCAAGCGATGGAACAAATCCAGTCGTTCCGTGCTTTGTTCCGTATTTTCGCACTTTTTCCTTCTGTACCGTTACAAAAGTACTGACTCTTCGTTTACAGTGCATACTCCCAGCCCTGCGGCTTTGAGTGAGACCTTGCCCTAGGCCTCGCTTCAGCCACGCGCAATGAACATTTCTCAGTGTAACGCGGGTGGGTCCCTTACTTTGTTCCTGTCACGGTCGATTGGCCTCCCCCATTTCTCCTAGTCTGGTTTTGGCGCGACCAACAACTTTACACCCCCCCTGTCGGAAGTCAAAGGCGGCATTAAACAAAACCAGAAATTAAATTCACTGAAGCGTTTGAATGGGCGGCAGACACGAAAGGTCAACCTTTGGCGGCCGTTTCTCTGTTTGTGGCTCGTTCCCCCGCTACTTACAACTTGCTTCTTTTAGCCGCCGGCCGACGGGGCGACGGCGGCCGCTTTTTACCGCGAGGCCACTAAATAGCAACGTGTAATAAGGCGGCGGCGGCCGTCTCAGGGTCAAGGTGTAGCCGAGTCGCACTCCAGGGCGAGCAACAGGTTCGTGCCACGCCCCGCCCGCGCGCAGCGCCATGTGGGAGCGGGGATGAATGCAAAACGACACCCCACGCTGCTATCGGGGCTGCGCGCGGAAACGCCGCCAGCTATGTGTCTGCCCTCTTGCCTGTCAGTCTGCCGCACAGTGGGCCAGAAGACCGGTGGGGGCGGCTGAAACTCTAGACCCGTTTTGAGAGTGCTTTGCCTGCCTGTGCGATATGCCGCCTCTTTCCGTCGGGCTGCCCCGCTCCTTGTGTTCCGAGAGATATAACGGATTCCCTTGGAGGGGCACTGCAAGGCGCTGCACGGCACTGCAAGGGGATTACAGTGTGCAGCTAATCCCCTGCAGGTCTGGCGGCCCTGGCGGGTCTGGCGGTGCAGGCGGGGCGGCAGGACGCCGTCGGGGCAGCGCCGCGTTTCCCTCCACTACTTAATTAAAGCAGGAAATTGCATTTCCATTTCGGCCCTCGACCGCCGCGCCGCCTCGGCAAGCTGCTTGCGAACTGTTGCCTCTCCGTTTCTGTCGTTCCGGGTCAGTGCGAGGGAGACCGAGACTGCATGCCGCGCGCGACGTGCTCGCCTACAACGTGGTCGTGGTGCGCGCGTCGCGCTGGCCAGCAGGCCGAAGCCGTCGGTCTGTCTCTCGCACCTGCACGGGGCGCCCCGTGAGTGCGAGAGAGACGCCTCCCAGGCCGGCCGCGCCGAGAAGGTCATTCCGGACGGGCACTTCTGGAGGGACATTCCGTGCTATGAATGTTTCCCCCGCACGGAACGAACGGCGAGCCACGTGCTATCGTGTCTAATCTCCCTTTGTCTGCCTGGCTGGGCCGAGCCTGGGCCGAGCCTGGGCCGATGCCTGGTCGCGCTATGGGGGATTGCTTTTCGCCAATTTGAGCGCGAACCTGCTGTTCGAGCCGTTACGCCGAGATAACGCCTCGGAAGGGCAGGAGGAAGCAGTAGAGGTACTTGACAAAGGCACACGACGCGCTGGTGCTCGCCGCACGATTCTCGGCCCCCTTTCGCCGCAGACACTACGGTTCTCTCGACAACGTGGTGACAATTCCAGTGTGTGTGTGTGTGTGTGTGCGTGCGTGGGCGGGCGTGCGCACGAGGCGTTATTGTTGGTGGAGTGGCAGTGCCTGGCAGTGCCTTGGCCACAACGCACGGTGTTCCGCACGCCGAACGAGCGGCATCTCCGCCCTGTTAATGGAATTCCTCCCCGGTGGCGCCACGGCTGAGGCCACGGCGGCCGCGGCGGCCACGGCGCCTCGCGCGATAAAGGGGAAAGGGGCGGCGGCAGCCAGGTCCCTAAGAGAGGAGGTGTAACCGCCCCCGCCGTCGTCGCCGAGACCATGCCGAGACTTTCACTGAATTCGGCGTCGGAATCGTCTTCAGGGCGGCCTGGCGGCCTGCAGGCTGATTCCGAGAGTCGCTTTCGTCGCGCTGTCTCTCTCGCAGCACCTGCACGGGCCGCCCCATGGAGTGCGAGAGAGAGACGGCGCGGCGAAGACGTCTCTCGGAATCAGTCTGCCGGCTCGTCCGCCGGCTCGTCCGCAACCCTATCTCCATGCCAGGCGGGCCACTCTTCATTCCTCGGTGCGCCTCATCCAATTTGCATCCGCCGCCTCTCTAAACGCGCGGCTACGCTCCCCCCCCAACCCCCGGACACTTTCCCGCCAGCCTCCCCCTCCCCGCGTACGTCAACGTCTTTAACCTTCACGGGCCCCGCTTCCCCATCTTGCAGGTAGGGCCGTGAGCAGAAGCCCTTGCGAGGGCCGGCCCGGGCCGGCCGGCGTTATGGTCGCCGCTGTCTCTCTGGCGCCCTCACGGGGCGCCCCGCGAGTGCGAGAGGGACGGAGCGTCTGCCTGCCGGGCCTGGCCGCCCCTGGGCCTCAAAGGGCGGCCTCTTGGATTCCTTAAATTGAAACCGCGCGGCGCACTTTTCCCTGACGGAAATGTGGTCCGGCGCAGCGTGGTCGGCGAGGCCCTCGACCGCGGCACGGCCGGCACGCGCGGCGTGGCCCTGTTCCTCTCCTCCGCTGTGCCGCGGTGCCTCGGCGCCGCCAAACGGCCGGAGCCTTTGTCCGACTCGAGGGCCTTCCGCGGCTTCCGCCTCGGCATTCCCTCTGCATTCCCGCCGACGACTGTGCACCGCGGCGCCCAGAGCTGCTCGACGTGGACCCGACCGAAAACTTTAAATTGGAGACGCTGCGGCGGCCGGACGCGGCGGCGGCGGTGCGCCAAACACGCCGCGCACGCACGTCGCCGCCGTCGTCGTCGTGGTGGTGCAGCGCCAAGGCCGAGCACGCCCCGCCGCGCGTCACGCGGCCGGCAACAGGCCCGACACTGGCGGCGGCGCGGCCCCCCGCGGTCGGAAACTTTCCCAAAGCAATATGTGCGTGAATGTGTGCCGAACGTGTGTTTCTTCGCTTCGCGCCAATGCCAGCGCGGTCCTCCCCCTCCCCCTCCCCTTCCTCTTCCTCTCCGATAGAGAGTTCTGTGTGCCACGCACCGCACGACCACACATATGCCGCGGCACAGGCGCGGACCACCTCCCGAACACGTCCCGCCGCGCCCCAAAATGCAGCGCTCCAACTTTGATACGCTGCCGCCAACTTTCTGCAGCGATTCGCACGTGTGTCTGTGTGAGTGTGTGTACTGAAAGGGCCCAGAAAGGAAGTCGCAGATAAACCTATCATTGGATCATCTTCGGGTGACCCAGGGGGACGCCTTCGGGTGGCCTTCGGGTGGCCTTCGGAGGCGCTGGTGCTAGCGCTGGCGTTCTCCTTGAGAGAGACACCCCGGGACCTCTTTGTGAGCACCTGCGCGCCTCGCTGACGGCTTAATGATCCCCGAGTAGAAGCACGGCGCCACTGTTTTCTTTGACGCCTTGCCCCTCCCCCGCGCCGCCTTGCCGCCGCCTGGGAGGGCCTGGGCACGCACATGATTGCTATGCAAAGGAAAGAGCCACCGCCACGCGCCGCCACCTCCGTAGTAAGAATGGGGGGAGGCAGGGGGGGGGGCTGCTGGTGTTATCTTCTCGGGGGACGGGCATGAGCAATGAGCCTGACGTGTTGTGGTTTCGAGGAGCAGGCCACCCCGTGCTCCCCTGTTCCCCCCGAAGGAGCCCCCAGTAGCCCCACGTCAAGCCTCACAGTGGGCCAGAAGACCGGTGTAGGCGGTAAAAATCGCGTTTTGAGCTCCAGAGTCGCTGAATGGGACTCGAACCGAACGTGTGACCCCACCAATGGATTGCTCTGCAAACGGGGAATCCATTGGTAGGGTCACTTGTTCGCTTCGAGTCCTGTTTAGCGACTCTGGAGCTCAAAAAGCGTCCAGAGTTTTGACCGCCGGTGTGTCCTGGCGTCCCGGCCTCCTTGCAGCCTGCGTCCCTGCGCGGGGTGGAGGCAGTGGAGGTGGCGGGACGCGTGCTGCGGAGCCCTGAAGGCCCCGCGCCGCCCCGCGCCCTGCCCTCATCTCGTCTCCGACGACGTTATTCGCAGGCTGCAATAAAAACAAGCACGAAAACGCGTTCCGCGATATTGCGCGCACGAATTATTGTTGTAACGGCTGGGCGAGGACAAGGACGCGCGGCCGCGTTCGCCGCGCACGCCACTGTAGGCCAGGAGGGCACGATTTGGGCGGGTGACTTTACTTGGGGAATGGTTGCTGCAACTCGGTTTTCCTCGAGGAGAACTGAAATGAAAAGCACGATCGTCCCAATGGGAGCCTGCGACCCCGGGGCCTTGGGACAGCTTCTTGGCAGGGTCACGCTGTGAGTCCGTCGGGGAGGAACGCAAACACCGCCGCGGATCTGCGCGCCCAGCAGGCGAGCAGGCGAGTCTTTGAAGCCTTTAAGTAGCCAGAGCGCCAGTTAAGCGAGTCAAACGAGCCACTGGAAACCCGTGGCACTGAAAATCGCCGGAAGGGATAGAAAATCAGTCACGAAATGGAATCTCGTCGAAATCAGGGCTTGCCTCTGCAGACTGAGAGTCGTTTTCGTCGCTGTGCCTCTCTCGCACTCATGGGGCGTCCCGCATAGGTGCGAGAGAGCGACGAAAACGACTCTCGGAGTCTGCTGGCCTCGTGCTTGACGGCCTTGTCTCTTTTCTGCAGGCGAGGCGGACTGCACCGCGCCGTCCTCGCGTCTGCCGCCCGCCGAATCCACAAGTGAGGTAAGTCGAGATCAAAATTTTTAATTGGCTGGGCCGGGGAACTTCCATGGCGGAGAGCTTTGGACTAGTTCTTTTCCTTCTTGTCCTCTTCCGCGATCTTGCTCTCATTTGGAAGCACGCCACATTCGTGGTTCAGGGAACTTCTGATGATAACTTTCTAATTCTATTCCACCTTGAGCGAGCCACCCGTGATTTCGGTGACGTTGTGGCTCTCTCAAGGTCCACTAACCCAGGCTGTGTTCCACGGCTCACTCACACAGACGCACGCACACACACAGACGCAACGTGTAGCTGCAATGGTCGGGCCCACTCCGCCATGTGTCAACTATTGGACGTGGGCCCCGCAAAGGTCACTGTCAAAGTGTGTCCGTGTTGTTGCGTTGTGTCAGCCGGATCTCCGCCACACACACGTGCACATGACGTATGCAGATTGTTGTTGTTCTTGTTGTTTTCGACCTGTCATTTGTTTGAGTTTCGTTTCTGGTTCCCACGCTTGCAGCATACGTTAATTGTGGAGACACCCGCGCGCCAGCCAAACTTTGCGCGACCCCCTCTCCCGTCTCTCTCGCACCCTCCCCTTTCCCCTTCCCTTCTCTCTCTCTCTCCTGGACGCGAAGTTCTAGCCTTGCTGTGCCCCTTGTGACGCCATATGGCGCGCGAGAGCTGAATCAAAACTACTCGCGCCCTTGTCTGTCTGTCTGTCTGTCTGTCCGTCTGTCTGTCCGTCTGTCTGTCTGTCTGTCTGTCCGTCTGCCCAGCTGGCTTACGGAAGGCCCCCGGGCCTTATCAAGGCCCTGCACTTATGTGGCGCCGCACTCTCCGGCCGATGGCGCAAAACCACTCCCATAGCCATACGGGCGCACGGCCACGCACGGCGCCGCGCGGCCAGACGGGTGCCCGGCCGACCCGGCCGTCCGGGGCGCGCCTGCTGCGCGAGTGTGATAGAATTTGTAGGTCCAGCGGGCCGTGGTGGCCGGGGAGGCCGGGGAGGGCAGGGAGGGCGGAGGGCGAATGGTAGTACGGCGGGAAGGTTCAGCGACCTCGCCGCCGGCGAGATGGACGCTTGGGAGCGGTCTGCCCCTCGCTTTGCCCTGGCCGTTGGCTGTTCGCCATTCGACGGACCTTTCCATATTTAAATTGGATCCAAAATATTTTTTTTAAAAGAATCCATGATTGTAAATGTTGCGATGCCGGGCACGTTGGGTGCCCGATGGGATTCCGGCCGCGGTGCTGCGGGCGGGCAGCTTGTTAGCTCTCCACCCTGCTGCTTTGAGTGGTGCCTGGCGGGCCGAGGGGTGCGTCCTGGCGCTGCACAAGGTCCTCGCCATCGGCATGGAGGTAGCGCCAAACCGCCTCGTGACAGGCAACGCGAAAATTCCACGCTCCGCTGGACCCGACCCGACCAGACACGAGGGAGAGAAGGAGAGACACGCCGCGTGCTTATTGAGCAGCCAGCGCATTCTCCTTTTTCCCTCTCTTTTTATTTTATTTTTTTATTTCATTTAGTGGCGGCAGAGTGCGCCGGAGGGATTGGTTTAGCACGACGGTGGAATGCCAAAGTCAAACCGAAATGGACTTGGCCGGCCGGCGGCCCGTTTGCCTTTGGCGGGGCCTGGCGGGGCCCTGGGGCCGACCGGGTGGTACCTCGCGGTCGGGCTGACGCGCAGGGCCTAATTGTGGTGGCTCGGTGACGGTCCCCGTTGTTTCGATCCCCGGGGACGGCGAGGAGCGCGTGGCCGCGCCCAAACGGACTCAATCAGTCTGGTTCGGGGAAGCGTCGGCGCGCGACCTCGGCGTCGTCCCACCTCGCGGTGCTCCCCGTGCTGCGCGCTGCGCCTTGGGTTTGCCTCGGCCCCGTCTGTCCGCTCCTTCTCCCTCCCCATCGGCATGGCAGTGCCTCCCCGGGGACGCAGAAACGGCGGCCGGCTGCACGCTGATTCCCAGAGTCTGTCTCTCTCCCACCGACGCGGGACGCCCCGCGAGTGCGGGAGGGACAGAGCGACTGCTGGCTGAAAGGGGCTGCCGGCCGCTCGGGGAATCGCTAGAGTCGCCGGTGGCGGGCAAGAGAAGGAAGAGGAGTTGCAAAAAGAAGCCCGCCGCGAGGTTAGGAACCCCCGGCATGACCCGCGGAAAAACAGCGCCGCTCGGCAAGCAGCGCGGCGCGACGTGCCGCCCCAGAATGAGATTAATGCGCGCGGTGGCGGCGGTCCGACGACGGTGTGATTTGCACCGGGCCGTCGCCGCCGAGGCCCCGAACCACTTTAATGGCCTTACGCAGGAGATCGGTTTGTCGCTCTGCCTCTCTCGCACCCTGATGCAGATCCCCATGAGTGCGACAGAGACAGAGCGATGAAGCGGCTCTTCGGGGGCGAGGTGGCGGCCGAAGATGACGGGGCGAGAAAGGCCTCGTCCCCCGGGGACAGGAGCCAACGCAGACTGTCTGCGAGAGTCGCTTCCGTCGCGTTGTCTCTCTCGCTCTCATGGGCCGACTCTCAAAGGTGCGAGAGAGACGGAGCGACGGCCCTCGGAATGAGGCTGCCGAGATGAGGCGATCACGGCGGGACAGCGCGGCGATCGACTGGCCGCGCCGCGGTGCCACGCCCACGTCCCCGTCGCCGCCAAGAGCCCCCGCTTTCAGCCCCCGCGTGCACTTAGCGCGCCCCCTGTTTGCCCCTTCCACGGCACTGCCAAGTGGCCCCGCAGGGCCCCGCGCCTCCAGGAGGACATGCCCGCCGTCTCCCCCCTCACGGCTTCGGCACTGCCTTCCCTGCGTAAATATTCTAATGAGGTCCTCGGCGTTGAGCTGCCGAGGATTACATTGGTTTTTACTGCGCCTCGCTGGGCTCCGCCCCCTCTGCAGGTAATCCGCAACCATTGCGTCCCGTCCCCTGTCTCCACCCTGCCCCGTACAGTGGGCCTCAGTTTCGCGCCCGTGGCGCGAAAAATGTCGCATCGCTCCGAGAGACCCCTGCCGAGCAACAACGCGGAGAAAACGTCTTTCATTACTGCAGATTGCGCGAGGCGTCGCATTGCAGCGCGCCCTTGAAAGGAGCGGCGCCGGGAAAAAGCTGTCGTGGGGAGCTCCCCTCGAAATTGCCGCGGAGACTCCCAAGCAAGTCCGCGTTTGATTCGTCAAGCGGCCCGCCCCGTAATTGCCGCGGCAGGTCGATGCCGAGAGACATTTTCGTCGCTCTGTCTCTCTCGCTCTCAGGGAGCGTCCCGCGCGGGTGCGAGAGAGACAGAGCGACGAGAAGGTCTCTCAGACTGCAGAGCAGGTGGCTTGATCCCCTCTCCTCGCTCCGTGTAACTAACTTGCTCCAAGTTATCCGACACACGCGCGAGGGCCGCAGTTCGCTGCTTTTGGAGTGCGCCTTGCCTTCCCCCACCGCCCGCGCCCGCCGAGCGAGACCAAAATCGGCGCGCCCTTGTATCGGTGCCTCGGCGGGCAGCGCCTCACAGCCAACCGGGCTCTGACTCTCTCGCACTCGCTGGGAGATGTGAGAGAGGCGATAGTCGCAATCAGACTGAACGCGGACGGGCCGACGGGCCTGTGAGGCGGAAGGGGGTTGGTGCACGCCCAGCACGCCCGCAAAGCACATGTGCTCTGTGGCGGCCTAGCCGTGTGGCCTGGCTGAGGCGCTCAGGCGGCAGCCCAGTGCGTGAGGTGCCACAGGTGCGCCGGTCCGCCACCCACGCAGCCCCCAGCTGGCCCCCTGCGCTCCTCGTGCGCACACCACATCGCACGCTTATTCAATCGCCTGTTGAGCACCAAGTCGGCCGTCGGACGTAAAGTTTTCATGCACGCAAAAGCAGTTTTTCCTGGACGCTCAGTGGGCCGGAAGACCGGTGGCGGTGGTCCAAATTGTGGACGCGTTTTGAGCTGCGAAGTCGCTAAATGGGACTCGACCCGATCCCACCCCACCAATCGACCCCACCAATAGATTGCTCTTCGGACGAGGAAGCGATTGGTTGGGTCCCAAGCTTTCGTTTCGAGCTCCTGTGAGCGACTCTGGAGCTCAAAACGCGCCTATAGAATTCCGGCTGCCCCGCCGGTCTTCCGGCACACTGTGCGACGGGCAGACAAGGCAATAGATCTCACTTCTCTACCGCCCAAGGAGAACCCTGCAGTACCTGCAAAGTTTTCGGAAACCGCCCTTTCACCCATTCCCCTTCGGGGTGGCCGCGCCCTCCGCCTTCAGGTGGCCTTTGGGACCCGGTGACGAGAACCCTGCGGCAATCCCTTCGCGATTCATCCACATCTCGATAAGACCCGGCCCGAACCGCAGCCCCCCCTCTTTCCCCCCTCCTCCCTTCGATGGCTGGCAGCGCTTTGCTGAGCGTTTTGGGGTCCCCGCGTCAGTCATGGAGAAAGCACCACTGCGGCGACCGTCCAGAGTGTGGCGTTGGACGAGGAAATGGGGTGAGGGGGAAGCGGGAGGGGGAATGGCACGGGTAGGACTGGCCCGGGCTTCTGGGTACGGGTGGCCAACGCAGCCCAGATGAGTGTAATGCTTTTCATCTCCACAACGAGGACGGCGGAGAGGGCTCCGTCGTGTTGGTGGTGGTCGGCACTCACTTCCATTTGCTCGCCATCCACTCGGGGGACGCTAGCTGCGTGGTGTTGGTGTGAGGTAGCGAGGCGCTGCCCGAGCGTCGGAGGTACTGCGGTGCACCCGGACCCGCTCTTGCGGGCGCGAAAGACCAGTGAGTCAGTGTCATAATACAGTGAGTCAGTGTCATAATACAGTGAGTCAGTGTCATAATACAGTGCCGACGAGCAGTGAGACAGAGTGGTATCTCGTTCGGAGAGAAATCCATTGGTGGGGTCACACGTCCGGCGTTCGAGTGACATTTCGCGACTCTGGAGCTCAAAACGCGTCCGGAATTTGGACCGCCTCGAGCGGTCTTCCGGCCCACTGTCGCCAGGATGCGAGCGCGGTTGGCGCCGCGAGGCACACTTAATAGAGATATCGGATCGCAGCTAATCCCGCGAGCGCGCTA